GAATAACGAGATAGGAACAATCTAGAGCTGACAAAACTACTGAACTTCACTGCATATTGATGTAGCAGACGAATATTTTAATATCAGATCCGAATGAAAGATTTTCACTTATCATCTCTGCTAATCCCTGATGAGATTGCGAAGGCCACAGAAAAGTTTCATTAATCGTTGAGCGGATAACACTGAAAAATTAGGTAATCAGACAACTGGCAGAGAATAGGAAGTGTTACGAAATGGCGCACGGTAAATAGAAGTTCACCTTTAGTGTCAGCCATATTTATTAAGAAGGTCTGATAAATCTGTATCTTGCCCTTATTTATTGATAGATGACACAAGATATCCTTAATGAACTTGCTTGATGATCTCATGAATCTGCAGATAGAAAAGCACAGACACGTATCTTGCTGGTGAATAAAGTTTTAGCTGACACTAGCGGATTCAGCGGTAGATGAAGTTACGATTGCAGCAATAGTGATCGATCTGATTCTTGAGGACGACCGGTGCTCTTGCTGTTTAGAGTATGACGAGGTGGTTGAAGCGAGTATATCGCAAATTGCTAAACACGCCAGTATGAATTAGTTCTCAACAGTCCAAAAATACTGGAATTGTTGCAGCTTACGGCTGAAGGGATGATTCATTTCTTAGGGCAGTTTCAGCTGAATAGTTCAACATTTAAATAACACACCAAAAGTTGCAAGCTGGAAAATTTTTTGAACTCGGTTTGAAGTTTTCCAGATCCAGGTACGTATATCTGAGTATAAGCTGGGTTATTCAGAATATTTTGGTATTGTTCATCACTTCTACCTCAACAATAACCAAGGTTTCTGTTGAGACAGAGATCGCTATTTTAAACTTATAAATCAGAAAGTCTATCCACATCACTACCAGTTGTAACACAGTTTGTCATTATAAGTCTAAGTCATATCAGTTGAACAAAAACTGCAGAACTGTTAAGAATGATCTCGAGGATGAATGAGGCTTACTCTTATCTACGTAGATATTCTTGAAGGGACTTTGCAAATGTCCAAAAGTTCATCTGTGTTGCAGCAAAACATAATAAGCAACATTTGCAAGGTAGCCGTTTTGCTCGATGAAGTTAGAAGTGTCGGTTCCGCTTTAACGTTATGTTGCCTTCTCAGATACCTTCCTAATACGGTTTGCAGTTCAGTTAAGGTATTGTTGTTTAACGTCAGTGGTACTTCGTAAACCGCGCTCTGAGGCTGCGGTTATAAATGTTCAGCACTGTTCTGTGACACTGCGATTGCCTGTCATGCAATGAATGAGTGCTATTGTCCAAGATATTCTTACCCCTGGGATGCCACGAGAGACCGGTAATTCAACGATGTTCCTAAGCAGATCATTGTGCTACAGGCCACTTATTCTAGACTTGGCCCAGTGATTACCTTAGTGCCTTGAAGTTGTATGTCAACAGGTATGGAAAGATGACTGTTAATACATGTTGGAGATGGGAGTTCGACGCTTTGATTCGAGAGTCTTCCTGTGTTCGTCATCAGAAGTTACATTTACTGCGCGGTCAAGGCGGGGTTAATAGGTGCAGGAAGATGACGACCACTCAGCGAGCACCGAATTGCCATGCAACAGCAGGCTCATTTACCATATAGCGCAACTATTACATGAATAACTCTTGTGCAGTATGACCGTACCTTTGTATCAGGGTTATTAAACATGTTCTAGCAGTATTACGATATGATTATTATTTATCTGAGGTTGCTACAGCTTTCTCAATTCCAGAGTCAGCGTGAAGAGTGGGCAACAACCAGAGCAAGGGTGTTCGCCCCGGACAAGTCTGGTTAAAGGTATTTTTCCGAATTTTGAGGATTTGCCATGATTCATGAATCGGTCAACTGACGAGACACTGGTGATCAGGTGTTGACAGACGCCAGAAACATCTGTCTAAAAGTACCCCAGAAGGCAAAATTGGAGGCTGCTCTCTATATTAATCTTCAGTAAACATACACATCAACCTCCAACTACGGAAGATGTCTGCTCGTGAGCAGCCGAATGGATGATCCGAAAATTGATTGATATTAGAAAATGGAGAGAAAGGTAACATATTCCGCGGGTCTAGATATGGAAGTAGTGGCAGATCTGACAATAATAGTGCTCTACAGATTAATGTGTTGATGTTATCGTCATTCTGAATGGGAGATTCACTTTTCATTGTGACCGTCGCGAGTACGATTGTAATGGAACTTGCTTCATTAAAAATCCATCAGTCGTTGCACTTATTGTGCAGACATCACATCACGGACCGCGAAGGCCTGCCGTTGTTAGTGTAAAATTTCTGCATATATGCTAGACTTATTGATGTTGGATTTTATGAGCTGTCAGGCGATCCAGGACACACTGCCATAAGTCTCGTACACTCTGGCGGCACCAAAATGCCATGTTGTTTCTAATGTTCACAAATCGTTGGCTTATCCGTTTTGCACTGGTTGCAGAGAATCACAATGGAACAAATTCCTTTTTCAAGGTAATTAGCAGTTTGTAAAATTGGGACAATTTTCTACTTCTTCCTCCAGCAATACGCTCCTTTCTGTTTGTTCCCGCTGCTGAGCGAAATTCCGTTGAAGTAATGTCTGAAATTTACAGGTCAGCTCTCGAAAACAACAAAAGCTGAGTTTTGATTAACTTCGTTATAATTATTACAGGAATTATAACTTTACGCGAAGTAGAAACGAAACTACAAAGCTGTGATTTTGTAAGAGGATGTACGAAATGCCGTTGTGTTGTCTCTGAATTATTTTATTAGATGTTCGCATTTGTTAATTTTGATTGAGATTGGTACAGGAATTTGAAACTAGACATCAGAGTCGCGGATTAGGGATATTTATAGTTATATTAATCTTCTTGCACTTTTTGCAGACATACTTAATGAATGTATCTGAAGTAGATTGAGTAACGTTTTTCTTTTCCAGGGGCATGAAGCTTTCAAAGCCAAAATCAATGTTGAAGTTCAGTGGGCCAGTGAGCTGAGCATTGCCACTGTCGAACGAAACGGTGGTACTGTGACAACGGCGTACTACGATCCTGTCTCTCTGATAGCCGCAACTGACCCGATTAAGTTCTTCCAAAAAGGTGAGCCAATTCCAAAAAGAGGTTTTCCACCGATGGATTTGATGAAGTACTACATCGGTAGGGTTTCTGTGGAATTTCTGTTACTTTAATATCTAA